GATCATCGAATCTTCATCTTTCTATTCTAGCTCCATGTTTGAAGCAGTTTCCGAAGCCCTTTTTTGGTTAGGGGATTGGGATTGGAGGAGTGATATTTATTTTATTAATTTTTCTTACATTGCATATGAACTGGAGCTAAAAGATTCATTTTGACAATGTTTTAGCTTTTGGTAATAAATGGACTAAATCAAAATGACTCAATGAACTTCATTTCCTTCTCACTTTCTGTGAATTTTTTTGGTAGTAATTGAAATATTCTCGGTTTTTTACTGTGTAAGGTTGCGTACATGTTACCGAGACCCCAATGCAGTTGGGATTATACCGGGTTTGGTTGTCGTTGTTTATTTATACATTCAGATAGCTAGAAGAGCTTGAAGATGACAAATTTTATTAGAATTACATGATTTAACTGAACATATACTTTTATACTCTGTAATTATTTTCCAGGCTAAGACTGACAAATGCAGATAAATTTGTAAAACAAAAACCATTCATCCCCTTCAAAAATGCCCAAACCAGACAAGCAAAAAGGGTTCAAGCCTTGCTCTGTAATGAGAAGATCCTTATAAATTCTGAGTTGAATGGAAGAAAAAAAATACAAAGTCATTATAGTTTGTTAGTTGCTCGCCTTGCGTTGCTCCATTTTTAAGACTATCAGTAATAATATTTTAAGCCTTTCTTGCCAGATTAGGTTAACATGAGTACACCCACGACTTCTTGTTTTGATATAAACACACACACACTCACTCCTTCCGTCCCATTTACAAGAAAATGGAAAATCCTATGAGAGAGAGGAAGTGTCTATTTTCTCTTTAGTCCTATTTTTAATGGATATTGTGTTGTGGAGACAAATTTGGTTCTTGATTTTTGTCGTGGTTATGCATGCAAACTTATTTTTTGTGCTTGTTCCATAATGTCTCTTCTATCTTGGCTTAGGAGTTCCGCACATACTATGTTATACCATTTATAGCTCTAGTTCCTTAAGGATCTGTTTGAAAACCTGAAAATGTTTGGGAAAGAAAACAAGATGCAAACAAATGGGAAATCTAGAAGGAAATAAAATAAAATAGAAATGGTTAAATCTGATAGTAAATCAATTTTGAATGTTTTTAAAATCTTATTTATGTATACATTTCCATTACAATTTTTCTTTTCCCTACCATTTCTTGCATTCCAAACCTAACCTAATAGCATTCAAGTTGGGCACTCTAAGTGAAGATTCTCTAATTTAGTTTTCATATGAATATGGCTACAGAAAACTTGCTCCTAACAGCTGACCATAAGACCGTTAAACTTGCTGACTTTGGTCTGGCAAGAGAAGAATCACTGACGGAGATGATGACTGCTGAAACTGGAACCTATCGCTGGATGGCTCCCGAGGTACTCACAAAAATCATTCATAGTATCATTTTGCACTTCTTCTGTGCTCATCATCATCATCATGCATATATATATATATATATATATATATATATATATATATATATGACTCTTCAAGTGAATAATAATAATCTGTATTTGGATTGTTGTACATATATACATGTTTGGAACTTGGAAGCTCTACAGCACAGTTACACTAAGGCACGGAGAGAAAAAGCATTACAACCACAAAGTGGATGCCTACAGTTTTGCCATTGTGTTGTGGGAGCTCATACATAATAAGTTACCATTTGAGGGCATGTCCAATCTCCAGGCTGCCTATGCTGCTGCTTTTAAAGTAATGTTCCTTTCTTTATTTTCTTCTTTCACCCCGAGTGTTTCTTTTCCCATACAATATGTCATTCAGCTTCTATCCGAGAAGCGGGAGTGCAGTGATAATAAATACCCACTTAGATTCTTGAGGGATTATGAAAACACATTTTGAGGATTGCATTGAGAGTATAAAACATTATCTGGGTTCACATTCAGAAGCTTGAATTTTTGGTTGAGTTGATTGTTTTGACATATTGGTTTAACATTACACTTAATTGGTTTCTTTCTAATTTTTTTTTTAAATCATGTGGTGCAGAACGTAAGGCCTAGTGCTGACGAACTACCAGAAGATATAGCAGAAATCGTGACATCGTGCTGGAAAGAAGATCCAAACGCGCGCCCCAACTTCACGCAGATCATACAGATGCTTCTCCACTGCCTCTCAACATTATCTCCTCTTGAAATGCTGCCCCCTATACCTCCAAGAATCTTCGCTTCGGAGAATGCCGCCGTGTTTCCACCAGAGTCTCCGGGGACAAGCTCACTGATGGGGAAGCGCGGCGACTCCTCCTCCGAAGATCCCACCCCGAGAACCCCGCCATTAGAGAGTAATGACCGCAAGGGCTTATTCCTCTGCTTTAAACAGTGTTATTGAGTATGCCCTCATAATAAAGTCACTTTGCATTCTAATTTAGTTCTGACTGAGAATGGAGAGCCTTGGTTACAAGAGCTGTAATAGTAGGTTGATAATGTAATAATAATATTAATCGTATCATAGAGTTGTAAAATAAGGTTTCATCCAATGCATGTTTATTTGCTATTGAGAAATGTTTAATGTAAAAAAAAATGTATTTAGGCCCCGTTCCGTTCAACTTATTTTTTCTTATTTTTTCTTATTCTTATTAAAATCAGATCAGATCAGATCGAATCAGATCAGACCAGATCGAATCAGATCAGATCAGATCCAATCAGATCAGATCAGATCCAATCAGATCCTATCATATCAGATCAGATCCAATCAGATCAGATCAGGACTTATTAAAATAAGATCTCTTCAAGAATTATTATTATTATTATTATTATTATTATTATTATTATAATATTATTATTATATTATTATTATTATTATTATTATTATTATTATTATTATGATCATCATCATCGTCATCATTATTATTATTATTATTCTTAAAAATGAAAAAGAATAAACTTTAGAAATAGGTTACATAAAAAGCTAAGAAAGTAATCCTTAATTATTAGACGTCGGAAAAATTAGTTTTAAAATACATTGACAATGTCAATCTAANTAAATATTTATTCTAATGTATAATTCTAATTTCACAAAAAAATTATCATAAAATAAAAAATATTATTACATTATAATATGAATGATTATTCTAATATATGAATTAACTATTTTTATTTTATTAAAAAATAATCATTAAATAAAAAATATTGATTATATTATAATATTAATTATCATTACAATTTTCAAACGTTATTATAAAGTCAAATTAAATTATTGATTTGAAATTTTAAATTAAATCATAATTAATCAGATCAGACCAGATCAGATCAGATCAGATCCAATCAGATCAGATCCGATCCAATCAGATCAGATCAGATCCAATCAGATCAGATCAGATCCTATCAGATCAGATCAGATCCAATCAGATCAGATCCAATCAGACCAGATCAGAACTTATTAGAATCAGATCAGATCAGAAAAAATAAGTTGAACGGAACGGAGCCTTAGTCCTACCATTGGTTCTGTTGGTTTCTTAAAATAGTATCAGTAAAGGTCGCAAGTAATGTTCAACCAAACACACACGTTTGGTGTGCATCATATTATTAAAATATGAAATAAAATTAGAAGTATTGAACATTTGAACCTTGTAATAAAGGAGAATTGGACCACAATAGCACAACTCTTTATGTGCATAAGATGAAACATCTTAGAATATACTTCCCTGTCCTGGTATATTGTTTCCAAGTTGATTTAGGCATTGTTTTTTCGGGTTGGAAAAATTAACTTTCAACTCTTTCAGTCTTTTCCAACTCTTTTTCATTTTTTTTTCAAATTTTTTCTAGTTCCTTCTAATTTATTCTAGTTTTTTTCCAACAACGATTTGAAATGGTATTTATATATGATTAATAAATAAACAGTGCTCCAAATTATATATCCAAACTTATAACATATCATCTCAAACACAGATAATAATAAATTCTTTCGATTCAAATTTAGCATTTTCTTACATATATTTTTGGCTAATTATTTAATTGATTGATTTTTTAACATTTAAATCTTTCCAACATTTTCCAACTCCTAATTTTTGCCAACTTATTCCAGTTTCTCCAATATCCAATTCTAGAATTCTAACCCAAAAGAACAGGGCATTCGTGTGCTTTTTTAGAAAATTAAAAATTACGCCAATTTTATTAGTGATAGTATAAATATTAGAAAATATTATTATTACTTTCTATATTATTAAATTTTATTAGGTTATTTTTAACTACCATTGGTATTCCTTTTCTGCACCCCTCTATTGGCCAATTGTCATAGACTCGCTTGCGTGCGTGGACTACGAAGGGAATATGTTAGAAGAAATTGAAAAAAGTTAGAAGAAATAAAAATATAATACGGAGTAAAATGAAAATTAACGAATCCAAATGAATAGAGTTGTATTTGTGGTTTATTTAAGCCATTTTATTAGTCTAATTGTGGCCGAGAAGCATAACAATTAACAAAGAGATGGAGAGCTTGTTAGAGAAGCTTTGGTAACGTTTAATGCTGGTGCATCAAATCCTCTTTCTTCCTTGGATTTAGTGCCCAAATATTTTTTATACTCCTTCCCCTAAAAAAATGTTTATGCATCAAAAAATAAAAAATACTCCCTCCGTCCTAAAACTTTCTTCCCGTTGCGCAAAACGAAGAAAAATCCCAAGTTTTTTCAATCTATTTTATTTAAATATTGGTATACAAATAAAAAATAAAACATACATATTTAAAAACTACGTCAAAAGTTCAACAAAATAAGTGGTGACAAGAATATTTTATTTTATCATATAAGCCATCAAAAAACACAAATAAATATAAATTCCCGTGAAATTGGAATAATGATCTGGACGGAGGGAGCAATGCTAGGGGTACACCAAAGATGTACCCAAATGTACACCACCCCTTCTCCACCACTTATTTTTATTTATTTATTCTTTTCTGAATTTCTTACCAATTTATAATAGAAATGCCATAGCATTTTTCAATAAATAATAGAAATGCCCAAAAATATTTACCACAACAGAAAAAGACCCCACCAGCCGCGTAAAAACCGGGCGAGAGCGTGGTGCTGGACACGTAATTTCGAGCAAAGTGAGGGGCACTTCCAGTCCTACTGCGCCGCGTGGTATGATTTCTAGTTCTAGGTCATGTAGCTTGGGGTGCAAGTCACAGCGTGCAGTCATTTACCATATTGCCCCCCAGGCTCGGATGTCCAGGTTCGGACACTGTCTTTGGTAAACGCCGGGACCCACCCGAACCTCTGCTTCTGGCCAGTAACAGAGTGGAGAGCTTTATTCCGAACCTCTGGCCATTGTTCCCGAACCAAGGTTTTCCCGCTACAAGCACACTCTCGATTTCTTAGCTCGGTGGAGAAAAGGGGATATATGTAACGACTCCGAGTCAACCACACGGTTACTCAACTTCTTCTTCTTCTTCTTCTCTCTTCAGATTCATTTCAAGAAACTCAGCTTTTCTGGTTTGAATCAAAGGATCTCTTTTTCTTGAATATTTCTTCTTCGATTCTTTTCTTGAAGGAGTGGTTTATGTATGGGAAGGTGAGATTCAATCAATCGTCCGAGGGATGCATATTATTATTAATAATTTGGATTTTATTATCTGCTGGGATGGGATGCTTGAGATAGATCGAGTTCTTCTTGGATTTCTTTGTCATGATAATGGATTTTCCACTTTTCATTGCGCCCGGGCTTCGAAAAGAACCCATTTTTTTTTTCCTAAAAAAAAAAACCATTTTTTTTGAATTATAATAAAAAAGAAAGTCAAAAAACCCCCAAAAGTTGCCATTTTTAGAACGATAAAACTAAAGAAAATACTTTATTGGGCGATTAATCCAATTCTTGAATGTACATGGAAGAAGTTGGTTTCTTACTTGTTGAGGTAGTGATTCATGGGAAATTTAATTATCATATTCGGTTGATATATATATATTGAGAGACCAGGAATTAGAATGTGCTGTATGTAATGTATTGATGCAAACAATCTGTACTGCACAAATGAGGATTGAATTGTGAAGAATACATACAACAAATTCAGTGTGTTTTTTTCTTCAAAAGCGGAAATATAATAAATTCCTTTCCTAGAATGCTTGTGATCACAGTGAAGTGAATCTCACACACACACTGTCTTGTCTTGCTGCAGGTCTTGGCTGATTAATAGCAGAGGACTTGCACAGAAAGTGAGAAATGCCAATGTCCCTGAAAAACATGGAGTCCGAGATTGTGGGGCGACTCGCGAATGCCCAAATTGCCATCACATTGTCGACAACAGCGACGTAAAATACTTTTGTCTGCAAATTATAATTAAGTGTGCTCTTAACAGTCTCTGTGATCAGCAATGTAATATATCTGTTATTTCAGGTTTACCAGGACTGGCCTGGCTTTCCTGCTGGTGTAAAGTTTGAGCCCTCTGATGCGGAGCTCTTGGAACATCTAGCAGCCAAATGCGGGGAAGGAAGCTTGGAACCCCACATGTTTCTTGATGAGTTCATCCCCACACTCGAGGGCGATGATGGAATTTGCTACACTCATCCAGAGAACCTTCCTGGTACGCCGCCAGAATACTATCACCTAATTGATTTGAGCATATGTAGAAATTGAGCTACAATGCCATTATGTATTGTCAAGAAACAAACTCGACCAAAAACTTAAGCTAATGCAGTGCTGGCATTGTTTTCTACGTCCTTTTAATTACTCTGGGTATGCAATATTTTAGGTGCCAAAAAGGATGGAAGCAGCATTCACTTCTTTTACAGAACTAAAAAGGCGTACGCGACTGGGAAACGAAAGCGTAGGAAGATTAGCAACGAGCAAAGTTTGATGGTAGAGCGCGTGCGTTGGCACAAGACTGGGAAGACCAAAGCTGTGATGGAGAGGGGAGTTCAGAAGGGGTGTAAGAAGGTGATGGTCCTTTACAGGAGCGCCAAGAAGGGGGAAAAGCCCGAAAAAACGAATTGGGTGATGCACCAATACCATCTTGGGAGTGAGGAGGATGAGAAGGAAGGCGGGTTCGTGGTCTCAAAGATATACTATCAGCAGCAGAAGCAGACCGACAAGATGATGACGATGAGTGCCAATAGTGATAACAACAATGATGTTCTTGTTCATCTTCACCATCCCAAGGGGGAATATTCAGATAGGTGGACTGCCTGCCAAGACATTCCCAAGACTCCAATGGCTGCCATCCCCAATCCTCCTCGTGCTGGAGAAACGCCTTCATGCGATCACTCCTTGGCCGTGTCCCCCGTGGATGATCTTTTGAACTTGGAAATGGACACTCTACCAGAGTTTTCTTTGCAGGATCTGCAGTTTGGATCTCAAGACAGCATCTCTAGCTGGCTAGACCGGTTATGATCTTGTCCCGAATCCGAGTTCGTTGATGGCATTTTGAGGTCAGGGAGGATTCCTGAAGAATGATGATGAGAGTCCAGTTTTGATTTTGAGATTTGGCCTCATTTTGATACAACCTTCATCACCTTCAGTTCATTATTGTGTGTATCATATGCTTTTGTGTTCTAACAATTTGGTTTATTGTTAAAGGTGTCAATTAAAGAATGTATGTGTTTTGGTAAACCCATTATGATTTGTACTGTGTGGATATTTGGAATGATTAATACTATGTTGTCATCCATGTCGTGCAGTGGTTTTAGTACTTGGAGCAATTCCTTGTCTGTGTTTAGTGTTGTATGTAGTGATGTAGTTATGTGCGTTTAGTTTAGTGTCTCTATACTGATTAAGGCCCCGTTTGGCATCAATGCTAAAGGTTAGTGTTAGTGTTTTGAGAATGCTAACGCTAGCTTTTAGTGTTAGAGTTTTCAAAATTAATCTATGCCGTTAAAATAATATATCCAAAATGCTAACGATAATCTAAAACGTTGTTCCAAAACAAGGCCTAAGTTATAGTAAGTGATGTATTTGTTGGTGTTCATTGAATACCAACTAGTCTTCCTTTGCATTATTTTTGTGATTTGGTCCCTAATTAGTTATATTCACACCTTTTGTCTAATTTTACAAAATCGAGACTGGTTAGTATAAATTTGATATTGGTGTAAATTTTGCATAATTAGGTCAAAAGTGTAGATATAGTCATTTTAAGTGTGCATTCAATTGTCCAATAAAAAAAGTCAATTGTACATCTTATCTTTCTGAATCAAATTATCTTTTTTTGGGAAATGCTAAGGGCAACACCAAGACAGACACATATAAAATGTCTCTGTCTAGACAAATATAAAATTTTTATATTTGTCATTAGTATATAAATAATGTACAATTATTTTTAGTACCCCAATAATTTTAATTTTTTTTGGAATGAATAATGAATAGAGTTACATTCCCTTAAAAAAAGAAATGAATATAGTTAAATTCAAAAGTTGACATACCCGGAGTATGATTCTAAAATAAGGTCAAATAGTCCAACGACTTGGTTATGATTTTTGGTTTAGTCAAACCAAAATGGCAAAATGAGATGAACTACGAAATTTACTTTCGGGCCTGGTAGAATTACTCAATTTCCATGTCACAGACTCACAGTCGGGGTCAATAGGCGGAAAACCCTAAAAACCTCTTACCCGGCGGCTGCCGTCGCCGCGCCTCAGGCTCCCGTGCAATATGACAATGGCTTTGTGATCGTTCTTGTTCATCTTCGGTTGGATTTGGTCGCCGCTCTCGCTACGCCACCGCGATGTTCACCGCAAGAAGCCTTCAAAGGCACTCTGTCAGAGCCCTCACTCTTCTCATTTCCGGCAATCCCACCGCACAGTATGCACCATCTCCTCCAGTTGCTCCCCCCCCCTCGTATTGCTTATTATCATTTGCGCTGTTATTTCTTGTTTGATTTGGTTTTATTTTCTGATCGATACTGTTGATTTGTAAAATCAGGCATGCAATGCTACTGAGAGGATGCAATTCTCAGCCTGTCGACGGCGGGAATTTTCAGTCGGCATTTCATATAGTTAAAGAGGCAGCGGAGCCATTTACGTTGAATAGAATGTGGAATCGCTTTGACGGGGCTCGAGGGATGTCGGGCAGGAGCATGAGAAGCAAAGTGGAGGCGCGGCTGATGAAAGAGTCTGGCAAAACCCTACGAGAACGTAGAAGAGCTGGTAAACTTCGGAAGAAGTTGATGACTGAAGAGGAGCGACTTCTTTACAACATCAGAAGAGTGTGTTTCTAATTCCACTCTATCACATCCCTAAAGAAATGCACTAATTTGATTTTTTAATTCGTTACTAACTTGTGTTAATGTGTGACTCTGTGATTTTCTAATTTTCAATTCTTTTGTTATGATGAAGAAAGGCGATCCCTTTTATGTTAGGGGGAGGTTATATGGCCATTAGTGTTCTCATGTTTCTCTTTTTCACTATATAGGCGAAAAAGAAAGTGGCATTGCTTCTTCAAAAGCTGAAAAAATATGAGCTTCCGGAGTTGCCATCACCAAAGCATGATCCTGAGCTTTTGACACCCGAGCAGCTCCAGGCATATAAGAAAATTGGTTACAAGAATAGGAACTATGTTCCTGTTGGTGTCCGTGGTGTTTTCGGAGGAGTTGTACAAAACATGCATCTTCATTGGAAGTTCCATGAAACCGTGCAAGTTTGTTGTGATAATTACCCCAAAGAAAAAATTAAGGAGATGGCGTCCATGTTAGCACGACTTAGTGGCGGCATTGTGGTTAACATTCATAATGTGAAAACAATTATTATGTTCCGTGGAAGAAACTACAGGCAACCAAAAAATCTGATTCCCATCAACACACTTACAAAAAGGAAGGTCAGCATTTAGCCATCAGCTTGTACCATTTTTAATTTTCAAACAATGGAAGCAAGGTTTTCACTTGTATATCGAGATGGGTTTCATTGGTAATAGAATCTAAGAGTTCATTTGGGATGACTAATTGTTAAAGAGTAAGTGCTTTCTAGATTAAGATAAGTGCTCTTACTTCAAAAAGAAGGGCTTGGTTGAGAAAAAAATTTAACTGTAAAAATCACTTTTTCATTCTTCTAGAAGCAGTTGATTGCTGCTTTTTTTATTTAAAAAGCACTTTGTTTAGATGAGAAAGTATTTATGGTAAAGGCACATAAACAATAAGCTGTCTCAAATAGGCTCTAACTAGCTACTTGCTGAAAGTTCGATTATATTCAAATGATGGATCAGATATGTGCAAAACTATTTACGGAGTATTTATTTGACTTTCTCTGTTGGCTTCCAGGCACTATTCAAAGCTAGGTTTGAGCAAGCTCTAGATTCTCAGAAACTGAACATAAAGGAGTATGAACAGAAACTCCGCAAAAAGGGGGTAAATCCTGATGATCCTGTTGCCATGGCCAGCATCCAGCGTGTAGCTTCCACGTTTTTCAATGCCATTGACCAGAAAGAAGGAAGTCCATATGTTTTCCAAGGAAATAAAAGTGACCAAGTGCGTTCCAGCAGTGACATTGGGCGACATCAATCTGATGAAGAAAGTGATCAGGAGGAGCTTGACCGTTTTATAGCTGATATAGAAAGGGAAGCTGATAGAGAATGGGCTGCTGAGGAAGAAGCCGAGAAGGAAGAACTTGGGAGAATTAGATATTTGAATCAGGGGGATTTCGGTGGTCATCGACCCAGAAGTTCGGGAAGCAATGTAAGTGATGATGAATCGGATGATGACATGGTAGGAAAGACAAGGAGATGGAATGATAAACGTGGCATGAAGTTTGACCACGATGTCAGCGATGGAGATGACGAGATTTCTGACAATGACGATGGATGTGATTCTAATGATCCTAGATCAAATCGTAATTATGATACTCATAATAGAGAGTACAGAAGAAGTAATCAAAGCACGAGAAGCTGGGGAAATCCTAATAATGGTAAGGATATGGGTAATGGAAACTCCAAGATATATGGTAAACCTAAGTTTGATGGGAAGACGGTAGACGAGTCTGGTTCAGATGATATGTTAAGTGATCTTGAGGATGCAATGTGGGAATCTGACAACACGGACGAAGAGTGCACAAAAGAATCGAGTACCCCCCTACATGATTACAGAACCAAAGGTACTGCGGGTAAAAACAAAAGGAGTGACAGGAATGTTATGAAGGCTAAAGAGTCAAGGCAAGAGGATAAATGGGACAGTGACTAGCCAAAAGTCTCTATTTTTGTAACTAGGGCCATAGGAATGTGCATTGAGCAACCTGGTGTGAGGATCGTCTTGTGCAAAACGAGAGTGGACCACAAAGAGTGGTTATACCGCTTTAAGAGTTCATATCCATCAGAAAGGCATTTTTATGGGTCACTTGTTTATGTGATCTGGAGATGAATATTCATTATTCGTACAACTGAATCTCGTGAAGTTGTCTTGGAAGGCAGAGGCTGCTACCATGGCGTTTTTTTTCGTGCAGTGCGTACACAGAGATTTGGGCAAATTCTATTTATTGGTGATTATAACAGGTTGTGATGTATTGACACATTATTGGGGAAAACAATGCATGGAAAATATTGTGTAAACTTCCTGGCAGTTTGCCTAGGGTTTTCTTTGTATTGTAACACTCTTTACTGATAATACATCATCTCATCACTCTTTGAAAATGGAAAAATTATTTGCGTGATTTTGCTGCTTATAATGTTTAATGTAGAATTCAAAAAAAAAATGTTTAATGTAGGGAGACTGTTAAAATTGATGAAAAAAGTAAAAAAATATTAAACAAAAAATCTTAAAATGAAGATACATGTGTCCTATTTTTTCTTTCAAGACAAATATAACACTCCGTGGTAATAATGTATGCACCAAGCAGTGGAGGGTTACTCAAGCAATAAGCAGTGACCTTTAGTTGCAAATCACTTGACAATTTACATCATAGTTGGCATTCACATCTAAACTAAAAGGGAGTATTGTGGAAATACAAGTTAAACTCCTGTTAAAAAGAAGTGTAAACTAAAAAAACAGCTGACATCTACAGAAGACTAGACTGGAGTTGTCACATATGCTGTATATGACAGCAGCCAGAGGATCATTCAAATAACATAACGAAAGACATTTGTCTTCACCCGACTCGCCTAAGCCGTTGTCTTTGCTTGAAGATTTTGAAAGACATTTGTCCTTGAAGAGTCCGTCCCTGTACGAATACCAGAAATGCCGACATAGTGTTTAACTGACCTAGAAGAAATCAGAGCGCTTCTGCTAAAAAAGAGATCAACAACCAATATTATGTTGCAGTCAGAACTTTATCCAGCTTCTCTTATGCAATTCCCAGGGAGAAGATATTTGTACTGGTCAGCATTGTTCAGCAAATAAGAAGGCAGATGAACTGCTGAATAAGAACGAGGAACGGGGCCCATCTTCGCGATGATGTCCTTGAAAGTATATTCCTCCGGGATCATGTCATACAAATCTGCTCCTCTGCAGATGACATCTTGAATCCTCTTGGGGTCCAGAAAATGCGAAAACCTCACCCGGTCCGTGTGGCTATAAGCCTTCATTTTGAACACAAAATCACTAATGTGGCGAAAACAGAAGCTGCAATGCCAGCCAGAGTCTGCTAGAAGGTAATCTGTCCTACGAAAATGCGCATACCGTGTCTCACCC